ACAAAAACGTATTTTTTTAACAAGACAATTAACGGGAGTATTTAATTTAATGTAGGTACAATGGAATCTCAAGACTATCAAGGCATTCTGGAGCAAAACATGCTGCCTTAGTGTCAGAAAGCCTGGTCGCAGTAAGAAGTCAAGCATGGTCTGAGTCCTCCAACAGGATTATGAGATAAAAACACCCAAGAATGTCTCAGAACCAAACATCGGACTATTCTGAAATGACTTCTGTTCAGTGTTTGTGGAAGGAGTTGAAACATCTGAACCCAAACCTGAGAAAGATGGAGCAGTTTGTTCAAGAGGAGCAGGATAAAACTGTGAACAGGTGCAAAAGCCTCAGAGAGTTAAATTCCTGACTGCCTCAAAGCATCGAGCAARAAAATATTAGGTTAATGTCATTATCCTTTTTGTCAAGGTCAGTTTTACATGTTCACTAATAAGTCTTTTGAACCAAAATTTTAAATAAATGACTGATTTTCATTTGTTACTTTTTAGTTTGTTTGTTTTTCAGTTATTACGTTAATCATTTTGAAGTTTTTTCAGTGACTAATGGGGGTTCACACTACAGTTTATCTGCATCTGTACGCTTATGATGAACGCACAAATGAAACAATGAAAAGCCTGAGTGCAGAGAGTCATGTCCTTACTGTGGTGGTGCAGTTACACACTGCAGGGTGACACTGATACACACTGACAGGACAAAAGGGTGAAGCCAATGTGTTTTTGGAGTGTGTGAGTGTGTGATCTGGTCCTACGTGGGTTTGTTTTTGTGTGTGTGAGCAGGCAGGTGCGTACATCCACCTGGACATGCTCGTGCGTTGGCATGGGTGCGTGTCAGCTTGTGAGCGTGTGAGATAATCTGTAATTCAATTCCTGAGTTTAATGGGATTATCTTTGGGAGACAAGCAGCCCAACGTCCTTGACATCCATCCCCTCGGTTGGCCGCCGCTGATAGACACGGGCATATGGAGGAGGGCGAAGAGAAGCGAACAGATGAGAGGATGCAGAGGGAGGAAGAGCAGATAAAGGGACAGCGAGGAAATCAAAACGTACAATGGAGTTTCTTCTGAAAATAAAAACAAAAAGGCCATAAAAGGCGAATAGAGATGTGACTTGCATTGTAATCATCTTATTTTGTGCTGAAGGTCACTGGCCTTCCCCTCAGCAAGTTCACCCTCTGCCTACAGCCCAAACTGATGGTCAGGACAGCCAACCCAACGAAAACAGCTCCGAGGCAATGTTTTACTTTGATATTCATATTTTTAGATGTTAATGTCATCCCAGTGTTCATCTCTGAACTGCAAGTTAAAGGACTGTTGAAATGTTTAGTTTTTTTTATCAATTTATTCTACAATGTTTGAGTATTATGATTATTTTGAACCCAGGTTGAGGTTAGACTTTTCATGGTTATGTACAACATGATGTATTATTAAAAAAGGGAGGAAATTAAACTTTAAATTTGCTTATTGTTCATTTTTCTATGCAGAATATTAGTTTTTTTAATGCTTGAATGATTTTCACAGGTTAGAGCAGCAGAAACAAACAAACAAACAGCAACAGTCTGCTCTTTAACTCCCTCTACTGATCACTGAAGAACTGCCCCAC